CACAATGGACCACCCTTCTCATGGACTTTATTTTTATGATCAACTTTTCAACCTAGCTTTAACGTATGAATTTAAATTGCCGTAGCCTTCAAAAGTACCTACAGCTCTGTAGACATGTTTTAGATAAATAGCAATTGTTAAAAATTACGTGAAACTTGTCAAGTCTTAATAACAAATAAGAAACATGTGTAACCAAGTAAACATTATCTGACCTACTAATGACTCAAATATTTTTTTTTGACAGTCAAAGTCCACTGCTTTGAAATAAATTATTGCAAATGACTCAAGAGAAAGCTCTTGGCTCGTATATTTTGGCATCATAGACAAGCTGTGAATATACCGGAAATACAAATTCTAAACTTTGAAGATGCGGTAAAATTATGAAGCTCTGCTAAACATAACGCAGTTGTTGTTGTAGTTTTTTTCTTGAAAAGTAAATTTTTTCTGATTACTGATAACTCTGCATAGCAACAATTTTTTGTACATTTTTTTGGAAATTATTTTCATTCTACTCTGAAGCATGTGTCTTTTCTTTAAAATAATTTTCTTATATTTTGTAGAGATTTTACAAATATATATATTTTTTTTTTAACTAGACACGCACAAACATACTAGTTGTAAAAACCTTAATGGAGACTTCAAAAGGTTTCACACTCACAGTTGCACAAACTTCGTACACATATATATATACATACATATGTACATAAACTCGCGAATCATAAAGCATGTAACTGTAACGCTGACAGCTTTTCACTTTTTTTCGAAAGTGGAAGTGTAAAATTCACAGCTCGTTGCGTGCCACTGTGCATTTGGGCGGCATTACATCTGCTACTTCTAATTGTTCTTCTTGCCTTTTGCCTTTGGTGGCTTAGAATTTGTAAGTTGAGGCGTTGTTGTGTCACTTTACATGTGTAGTCTTCATTATGAAAGCTTTTTTTTGTTTTACTTTTTCCGTTTTACATTTCCGCTTACTTGACTGCGCTCGTGGCGTGTGAGATTCTCTTATTTTTTAATTTACGCAGGTGTTTGATTTGATCGTTTTGCCCATTTATATGAGTTTTTAATGAAATGTGRCTTTTAATGAAGTGTGTGCATGAAAGCACCCTGTGGAAAAAAATTTTACTCYGTTTCGGATTGACCCAAATTTGATAAATTTTTCTTCCGTAGCAAGTCTAGAGAGCAGAGTAACTAAAGCATCGCTGATTTTAGTATGAAAAAGGTTTTTGAGTTATTTCTTATTATTGAACTATATTTTGTAAATATATTTTTTTATCCTTAAACTTGATTTTGAAAAAACAAAAAAAAAAAATATTTCATTTTTCCGACTTTGATTTTGAACGTTCTATTAGCACTTATTCCTCCTTCACGTGTATTTTGCAACCTCCTTTTGCTCCACATCTTGGTTTGATAATAAAAATAACACCCTCAAGCACCGTTTCAGCTGAATGTTGCCACATTTTGTTGCATCTATTGCATCAACATATTTACCAGTATTTTTTATGGCATCAGATACAGTTCACTGCGACTTCTAAATATAAATAAATTTTTCTTTGCTGTAACTTATTGCTTATCAGCTTACACTTTAACTATCGGCTATTAAATGCTGCTTAATTTCAGTGGTTTTTGTTGTCTCTATTGAATTTTATGCATTGAAAAGCTAACTGTGTTGATGCATTTCTTTTGAAGATTTTTACTATGTCGTTGATGTGATTACAAATTGGTGTTTACTAATAATAGTATTAGTAATGGCTTCTCAACAAATGGTTGCTCTTCACTTTTATATTTGATTTGGTTTAATTTTAGTGTTTAGTGTATTTTTTCTGTATTTTTTTGGTTTTTTTCTTTTTGTGTTAACGCGTGTTTTCCTCTATTTAACATTCTTTCACTTTTCGTTAATCAACTCATGGCCATATAACATAATCTACATCTAACGGGAAATGAAAGTTACGATTTTATTTCTGTTATTGCTGCTTTTCAATTAAAATACGGTAAATAAGAAACACGATCAAAGAATGGCATCATTTATTTTCGTCTGCTGTTTTATTTTTAGACCCAACTTTCTAAAGGAAATCATGTTTTTTTTTGTTTAGCGGAAAGCTGCAATTAATTCAAGTGATAAAGCTATTAATTTATCGAGCATTTAAACCAACTTTTTAAAATATCTATTGGTTCTTTTGTCTTTGCAAAAAGAATTTTTGAAATTTGTTTTTCTTTTATACTGGTACARAGCCTTCAAAAACAATCGAGAGATKGTTGAAGACGCGGCTCGTTCTGAACGTCCTGCGCCTCTTCAACTGGTGCAAATAATAAAAAAGTGATGGATATACTGCTTGAAAATCGTTAGAGAGTGTTAGAGAGATG